GGCAGGGACCCAACACTGAGCTCCCTCCGGGGAAGCAGGAGGCCAGCCAGGACGGAGGGGTGTGCCCAGGGCCCCAGGGTGGAGCCTCGGAGACCTTTCTCACCGGGCACTAAAGAACAGCTAGAACAACCCCAGCAGAGCCAGACTGTGTGTTAACAGCACCGAGAACCAGAGCTCCGCCCACCCCCACCAGCGCCCATTCTCGCCACAGGGCTATTAATCCTGGAACTCAGATAAAACCCCAGAAAAATGATTTTGTTTGTTTGTTTGATGGGCGTGGTGAGTAGAATAATCCTGAGTTAAATAAAATAAAGTTTCCACTAGCGCTTGAAATCCAATTATGCAATTGCACACGGGCCCTCGGCGCTCTGCTGTCTCTTACTGTACAGCTTCTAGTTCATTCTGACACTGGCCCTTGAGAATCACTGGTCTCAAACAGGGTCAGCAAACTACTGCTAGGTCCAGGGGCCAAATTCAGCCCATTGCCTGTTCTCTCTCTCTCTCTCTCTCTCTCTCTCTCTCTCTCTCTCTCTGTGTGTGTGTGTGTGTGTGTGTTTCTTTCCTGCCCATTTTTTGTCAGCTAACTGAAGCCACAGCCATCCCTCCTTTGCATGGCTGCATTTGCAGAGTTGCATAATTGCAACAGAGAGTGCTACGGTGCAAAGCCTAAAGCATTTACTATCTGTCTCTACAGAAAAAGATTGCCAACCCCTGGCTTAGACCATGGCTCTGTCTGGCTCCATCTCATGTCCTCCCTTATACTCTGGTCCTTTTGATGCCACTGTGTGTGTGTGGGGGGGGGGGGGTGTCAATGAAAAAGCCCCGCCTCCTTTCTCTGCTCTTAAAACTGTATTTACTTCCAGATCCAACTTTTCCTTCCCGAACTCCCCCGAGCCTTGGTTCTCTTTTGGCCACTTTTCCATCTCCTGTGACCCTGCCCTTCCCTGGCGACCTCCTACCTCTGACTTCTATTCTATATCCTTTATGAGAGTCTCCGCCCCTGCCTGCCTTTAGAGTCAGGGTTTCTTAGGGTTGTCCTCGGCACACAGGTCACACTCCAGTCACCCTGTCACATCCCCGAATTCTTCCCAGGAGGACCAGGTTTCACTCCAGCCTTCACCTGTAAGGAGGCGAGCTGGCCCAGGTGACTTTAGGGGCTTATGTCCTTGGCTTGGGCAATACCAATCCCTTAACACCTAAATGAGCTCTCGATTTTCCTCCTTAGTCCGCTGAACTAGTCAATATTAGTCTTAAACAAATAGCTCAAAGAGTAGAATGATCATTTAGTGGGCAAGCAATAAAAGGTAGCCTAACCCAGTGGTTAATAATAGAGGCCCTGGAGTTAGATGTATAAGCTGTAGATTAGAAGCTCCACCCCTTATCAGCTGGGAAGCCTTGAGTAAGTTCATTAACCTCTTGTATCCACTTTCTTCATCTATCAAAGGGGGACAAGGTGTGAGACTTAACAAGTTGACTCCTGAAGTATAATAAATACATCGCACAGCTATCAGCACTGGCCTCCAAATCGCAGCTTCTTTTTGAAATGATATGCTTATTCTTCACCTTTAAAATGGGTACAGCAATCCCTACTTTCCCTGGTTGCTGCAAGGACCTGAGAAAATGTTTATAGCATCGGCATGTCATTGGCATTGAAATTTGTAGGTTCACATTTATAATGGGATTTTTCTTTTGAATCAGATATTCAGAGTAAACTATGCATGTTCTTTTCTATTTCTCTCCGAGCAGCAAACATGCCTTGGTCAGGCTGAGTGTTCCCGGCCAGCATTTTCACCCACTGCACTTCACTGTGGACAACTGGAGAGCACCGCGTCACCTTTGAGAATGTCACAATCACAACGCACAGCCACGTTGCTGGGCCAGGTGAGTCAGCGCAGGTGTCTGTTAGGTATGATTTCCTTCAGTAGTTCCCAAGCTTTAGCCAGGAGGGCTTGTTAAATCCCAGATTCTTGGGCCCCATTCTCATAAATTCTGTTTCAGTAAGTCTGGGGCGGGGCCCACAAATTTACATATCCCACAACTTCCCAAGTGGTACTGAACTGACCCTTCTGGACAGGGAACACGCTTTGAGTAGCACTGGTCTACACAGACAGGGTGGACAGGCCTTTGGAATGAGTCAGTATCAAACAGAATAAGTCTTGCCACACAACTGATAATGGGTGGGTCATCAACATGTATCAAGATAAGCAGAAAATAGTCACATTGTCACTGGACTCAATGTTAATGGAGTCTAAGACCATAACGACAATAATGATAGGCATTTATTGAGTTTGGGCTATGTACCAGATTTTTTTTCTCAGTCCTTTGCACACATTGCATTTATTTGTATCCTTTTACTTTAGATGTCTTTAAAAATTAATAACGACATTCCCTGGATCATTTCTAGGACCATCTGATACTGCCTTTCAAACTAAATGTCCTCATGTTTGTTTGCGTCCATGATCTCACTAGCAGTAAGAGGCACGATTTATTTGTCAAGAGCTATGAAAAAGTGGCAAAGGTAAACTTCGTAGGCCTGGATGTCCTCAGCTCAGGGCTGGCCAAACAAAGCCCTGGATGAATCAAGGTTTGGATGAAGCAGTTGTTTGAACAGAGAAAAGCAGCAGGGGACCGAGGCCTCGTATGACCTGTGGCATTCGTGGGCCAACCAGACTCAGAACCACCTCTGCCTCAGTAACATCTTGAGCAACAAAACCACGTAATATGAACTGTCTATTATTTCATTGATTTTATAGTTTTGTTTGTATTTAATTTTGTGCATTTGTGGGGTTTTTTGTTTTGTTTTGTTTTTTGTGGTACGTGCCCCTAGCAGGAACCAAACCCAGGACTCTCCGGTCCGCAGGCCGACGCTCAACCGCTGAGCCAAACTGGCCAGGGCTGTGCATTTGTTTTTATTCTTTTGTTGTTTAAAATCTTTTTGTATTAAAAAAAATAGCCTAAGGAAGTTAATAAGAGCAATTTAAATCAACGTGAGAAACATGGTTCACATGAAGAAAGTGGCCGGGTGGCTGAGCCGTACACCAAAAAGGTTGTGGCCTCGATTCCCGGGCCTGGGCAGGAAGCAACCCATCGATGTTTCTCTCTCACATCCACGTTTCTCTCCCCCTCCCCCTTTACGTCACTCTAAAAATCAATAAAAACATATCCTCAGGTGGAAATTTTTTTTTAAAGAATGTTTCTTTTCTTAAAAAATGAAAATTACTTCTTGGATTATGCCCCAAATATGTCATTTTATGCGCTTCATCTTTTGGCCCTCACTGCGCCCTCCCGAGTAGCAGATCCAGCCGCTTTCTGACTAGGGCCGCGGCGAAGCTCTTTTGCTTTTTAGAGGTCAGTAGTTGATTTCTCAAACCCACGTGTAGAATTTTTAATCCAATTTTCAGGCCGGTCATTTTGAAACTATTTTATTTTTTTCTAACCATTGAGCTATTCCTCCACTTTACTTCAACTCTCTCTCTCTCTCTCTCTCTTTGATTTCAGAATTTTTTGTTTCTTTTTTTCCAGCTTTATGGAGATATAATTGACATGCAATGTGCGCAAGTTTAAGGGGTACAACACGTCGATTTGATGCCCTTACACATGGCAAAACGGTTACCCCCACAGCCTTGGCCAACACCGCCATCAAGTCACATCACTGCCATTTCTTTTTTGTGGTGAGAACATGTAAGATCTACTCTCTTAGCAACTCTCAACTCTCTTTCTTTTAACTGTCTCAAAAGCAGATTTCCATCTCTAATACTCTGCCTGCTCAAGAAAAAAAAAGCCACCAAATATGGAGGTTGAAGGATAATATTTACTCTTATCCTTTGGAGATACAAAAGAATTAAGTAGTATAAAAGAGTTTGAATATAGTTTTACGAAGTAGAGTTTTATATGCGATGGTCATGGATTTTCATACGTCATTCAAATAACATTTATTCCATACTTCCTATGTACCAGGCACTGTGTTGAGTGCGATGGGGCCTAATAAACCTGAAGACATATCTAAGCCTTCAAAGCATTTACGAGTTCTCTTTTCCCCTATTCAAACTTGACTTTCCACAAAGAGAGCAGGGATATGTTGAAGACCATAAATGAGATCTTTTCAATGATCTTTATAGATCTGTTTTAATTTTTAAATGTGCGGCATAAACACTACTTTGTGTTTTAAAAATCTAATGACATCACATCAAGTTTTTAAGAGGTGACTAATGTCGTTTTTGGGGGATTTTTTACACAATCTGATTATTTGAACTTTCAAAGGTTTGACGTGTCCTTGAGCCATTTATATGTGACTGTTTGTTTTTATGGCAATCACTGGCATCTGGGAACCTGAATTTGGCACACCATTCAATAGATTCTGCTCAAGGGCAGTTCTTATTCAGCTTTCAATGTCACTGAAGCTAACAGAGTGTCTACGCGTCGTAGGCATTCCACAAATATTTGTCAAATGAAGAAATGCAAAGCTAAATGGCCTAACCTACTAGTCCACTCTGTCCTTTTCTCTGAAATTTTGGGAACTTACTACCTGTGTCCTTGTCGGAAGAGTAATCACATAGGACTTTACATTGAGTCATTTTTATCTTTCATGTGTTATATTTTATTCATTCTAAATGGATTGCAATTTCATTTAGAAACAGCATCTCACAGATAGTTCCTCCCACATGATATCTCTTGAAATAAGCTATCACTACTTCCTTCTTTCTTAATTTTAAAAGAGATTAAGTTCAAGTCTCTTTTTAAAAATACAACAAAAACAAACGAAAGCCACAATCCTAAAATCCTTCACTATGTGTAAGGTTGTGAATAGAAAAAAGGTGACTGATGCCTAAGCTAAATATTCTAACAGCCTTTCCCACAGATCTGGGGTATCCCAACAAAGGTGAGGAGATAGGAAGAGGTAGGAGAAAATGGGAAGTTATCTGGGAAAAGGGAAGAATCCAGTTTGAGGGGTTTCAACAACCAGTATAGTAAAACCTCAATGCCAACCAAAGGCTTCTTACCTTTGCACCCCTCACAGGTCAGCGCGTTATAATGGTACCCTGACGCTCTGTCGCCGCAGACGACACACAGCTCATCTCCTTTTATTCTCCCCACTGATGCGCCCAGGCGGGCCTTCTTGGTTACAGGAATCTCTGCTACCTCGGTCTCTCCCGGGTAGAGAGTTTCAGCTGGCATCGGCTTGAGTTCATACGTGCCAGGCGAGTACCACTCTTCGGGCTGCTGGGGGTAGAAACCCAGGCTGGAATAGTAGGATGAAGAGGAAATCTGTGGTTGAACTTGAGGAAACTGAATGTTGTTGTATTGTGAGTATGTTTCCACTTCTAGATTCTGCCCCAGAGGACCTGCTGTTGGCTCTGTTAGTACACCTGAGCAAAAGCGATAATAAAAACTGAAATTAACATTGTCATTCTATAAATTAAAGAGGCAATTTAGCATACAGTATGTTTAAAAGTGGGGGCTCTGAGAAAAGACTGAAATATTTATCTATATGAACAGTAAAAACTATTTTTACATTTTTAAAAAAGCCTACATAGAGAATTAAAGAACTAAATTACAAGCTCAGAAAAATATCTACAACATGAAGGACTGACCAAATAGTCATATCATTAATATGTAAAGAGCTCTTGCAAACCAATAAGAAAACACTCCATGTGGGAAAAAAACAACAAAAACAAAACAGGAACGTTGAAAAAAGAAAAGCATTATTCAACATGCAAAACATTTACCATTCCATGGACAAATGATAAAGGACATGAATAGTCAGTTTTTAGAAATAAAAACACAAGAGTGTTATAAAGATACAAAAATGTGCTCGTATTTGCCAATAATTAAATTTAAATTGAAGCTACAATAAAAAATATCCCAGTGTTCACCCTTAAATATATAAAGGTTTAAACCATTTGGCAACACACACTCATAAGAAAGCAAAATTCTTGGAGGGAAATTTGTCAAAATCTTTCAGCATTTAAAACTCAAATACTCTTAACCCAACAATCCACTGCTAGAAACTTCATTTTAAAGATATGCTTGCAGCCCTGGCCAGTTTGGCTCAGCGTTTAGAGCGTCAGACTGTGGTCCAGAGAGACCTTTGTTCAATTCCCGCTAGGGGCGCGTGCTTCAGTTGCAGTTTGTCCCTGGCCTTGGTTGGTCATACGGGTGGCAACCACTCCATGTGTCTCTTTCACGTCAATGTCTCTCTCTCTCTCTCTCTCTCTCTCTCTCTCTCTCTCTCTTTCTCTCTCTTTCTCTCTCTCTTCCTCTCTCCCCCCCCACTCTATCTGAACAAAGAATGGAAAAATGTCCTCAGGTGAGAATAAAAATAGATAGATAGATAGATAGATAGATAGATAGATAGATATGCTTGCATCTGAATAAAAAAAAAGAAAACATGTAAAGTGGTCATCTACAGCAACATTTGTAAGAACCACAAATTGAAAATGATTTAAATATCCAGCAACAGGAGTCTAGTTAAATACATTATATTATGCCCATACACTGAAATACTATGTAGCTGTGAAACCATATGTGCTGATCTATATGTGCTGATATGGAAAGGTTTCTACAATGTGGTGCTTTTTGAAAAAGTTAGGCAATAGAATACTGTGTGTATTTATATGATATTAAAAACACTGTGGCCCTGGCCAGTTTGGCTCAGCGGTTAGAGCGTCGGCCTGCGGTCCGGAGAGACCCGGGTTCGGTTCCCGCTAAGGGCACGTACTTCGGTTGCAGTTTGTCCCCGGCCCTGGTTGGTCGTGCAGGTGGCAGCCACTTGATGTGTCCCTTCACGTCGATGTTTCTCTCTCTCTCTCCCTCCCACTCTATCTGTACAAAAAATGGAAAAATATCCTCGGGTGAGGATAAAAAACAAAACAAAAAAACACTGTGTGTGTGGCAATATTTTTGCACAGTACAAAAGGAACTGGATGCCCAGCCGGTGTAGCTCAGTGGTTGAGTGTCGACCCATGCACCAATAGGTCCCTGGTTTGATTCCTGGTCAGGGCACATGTCCAGGTTGTGAGCCACATCCCCAGTGGGAAGCATACAGGAGGTGGCGAATCGATGTCCTCTCTCATCGATATTTCTATCTCTCTCTCCCTTCCTCTCTCTAAAAAAAATTAATAAAGAATTATAAAAAAAAAAAAAAAAAAGAAAAAGGAACTGGATGATGGTGACTGAGAAATGAGAGTGTTGCATTGTTTTCTGGGGTGGGAGATTGCACACTCTTTTTACCATTTGTAATTTTGCCATTTATATGTTACTTTAATAAATTTTTTTTAAAGGAGAAGCTTTTTAAAAAAGAATGCAGTATCTGAAATTAGTCTACCTGGGTTCAAATCCTAGCTCTATCTTATTACTTATTATCTGTGCATGTTGACAGTTTACTTAACATCTTTAAGTCTCGATTTTCTCTTTATAAGACAGGGTATAATACCTACCTCATTCGGCTGACGTAAGGATTAAATGAGATCATGCATGCAAAATGGAAGCACTCGGCTAACACGTGCACACACAAAATGTCAGATAAATTATAGCTGCCAGCAAAATGGTAATACTAATTATTCCTGCCATCATGAAATGAGCCCTTAGCTACAAAACCTCTAGGCAATAGAAAATGATCAGGTTGTAAAAAGGCTCTATTTTCTAGAAACATAAATTATGGCTCTTTAGAAAACAGCAGCATTTAAATTATACAAAACACTAAAAATTTTCATAGACGTGAATAAGGTATAGGAGAGTGTACAAATGTGTGTGATTCTTCAAAGCATAGTCAGACAACCCTCGACTAAAATTCAAACTCCACCTCTGTGTACAATGAGGCTTTGTGCAAATTATTTAAACTACTGATAATCTCAATGTTTACAGCAGAAGGCTTGGGATGAAAATATCTATTCAAGGGTTGCTGGAGATTGAGATCATGCAGATCCACAATTCCTCATCTGAAACCTTTTGAGTCACCTGTGTTTTCAAATTCAGCGTTGTTTGGACCTTAGAACAGAATACAGTGCTATTTCTCCCAGCATGGCCTGGGGCAGAACCCAGAATCGAACAGCAATATTTCCCACAATGCAATGTATGAATATTCACACTAAGAGGAATAAATCAAGGCCATAAATACCTTCACATTCACTCAGGTCAGGTTCTGCCACTGAAAAAGTAGATGCCACTCCTTGAAAAAAATGCTTAGATTTTAGAGTGTTTAGGATTTGGAATGGTCAGTTAGGGATTGTGGGTCTATGCATCTGGCTATGCCTGTAGAGTGTTCTTTACGATGCTCCAAAGACGGTTGATAATACCATGATTATTACTATTACTGTTAGAAAGTGTATCACAGGGCTCTTCCTCGTGCCAGGCACTTGTATATCCTCACTTCCTTCTCCTAAATCCCACGAGGAAGTAACAATATTACCCAACTTACAAACTAGTAGCTTGTGACATGGAGAATTTAGGCAACTTGACTCCTACCTACCTAAGTAGCTGAGCTTTGAACTTTGGGAGTCCGACTTCAAAGCCCAGTGCAGAACTGTATCTCTCCACGATAATTTCAGATGTGTGAGGCTTAGGGCATGATTGAAAGCCTCCCGTCCTCTCTCGAACTTGAGTTCTTTAGTCCCTCCAATGCTCCTGCTAGTAGGGAACCTCCAGCTCGGGCTGCCGGCACCCCCTCCTCTCTGAGAGCTTCCGCTCACCAGTATCCACTCACCTGCAAATTCCCCTTTAATGTGGTTTCTCTTGGAAGTTTTTCCTGACTCTAAGTCCCTGGGACTCCTGGCTCTGAATCTAGTTCTATGGTACTTACCTTCCCTGCCTGGGCCAACCTTTGCTTATCTGTAAAGACAACTCCATGCTGGATAATCTTACAGTTCTTCTTTATATCTAAAATATCTATAAGTGTATGACGAATGGCCTATGGGCATTAGAACTCAGGGCCTTTAGACAATGGCAAAGTGGAGTATATGCATATTTAATGTTGTTGAAAAGAATGCTTTCTGCATTGACCCAGGAAATGATTGACAGAGTACAAAGTATACAATATGTGTGCAAATATCAATCTCCTCTAATTCATGCTCCACTTCATCATATAAAACCAGCATTGAGTCAGAATATCTGACAGACAGAAACAGTTGTCTGCTGACCACAAAATGGAAGAATATAAAACTATGAAATACAAGAGAAAAAAGAAAAGATAGATATAAAATCCTGATCTATTTAATAATTAAGTGTGACTAAAATTTCTGGAGTGAATAGAATCAAAAAGAACTGAGCATTCAAAACAATTTCACTGGCGCTTATTTCTAGATGTTGTCCTCCAAACCATTTTACCTCTAATCAACTCTGCACCCCTTCCCCCAAGCCCCAGTTTCTCTCCGCCTACACTCCCAGGAAGGTTAAACAGCTTGCCTGAGGTCAAACAATCAATTAAGGACAGAATCTGGGTTCTGTAGACAAATGCCAGTTCCAAGATCTCTGAGCGTTATTTCAACAAAGCAAATCTTAATAATCAAGAGACACGGTGGAGTTCCAGCACAAGCCAGGTCATGGTAACAACATCATAGCAATCTCTGGAAGCATCTCAATTAAAATGGGAAGCTTCCACAAAGACATCAGTTCTATTACACGGAAACAACCAGACATGGTCAGAACAACATTAGCGAACAGTGCCTCTATTCCCAAAGCACATCTGCTACTAGTATTTCCCGGTGTCCCCACCAGATCTCTCCAGAATAGACAATAAATATATAGGCAACTTACAATAAGAAAAACCACCATGGCCAACTTTTTTCAAAATGGGGTACTCCTACTGTGAACTGACTGTGAGACCTTGAACTACTGCCTAGCAATTTTGTCCATTTCTTTTGTAAACGGGGGCTATTAACACCCAGGCTTGCAATCTCATAACGTAGTTCTGAGTATAAAATATAGTCAAAAAATTTTTGATAAGTTGAGTACCATTAAAAGACATGTTTCTTTTTTTTTTTTCTTTATTGAGAGAGGGAGAGAGAGATAGGAACATCAATGAGAGAGAACAGCGATTGGCTGCCTCCTGCATGCCCCCCCGGGGATTTGGCCCACAACCTGGGCATGTGCCCTGACCAGGAATTGAACCGGCGACCTCTTGGTGCATGGGTCAATGCTCAACCATTGAGCCACACCGGCCAGGTGCATGGGTTGATACTCAACCACTGAGCCACATTGGCTGGGCACATGTTTGTTTCTTAAATAATCTAGCAAAATCCTGACTCTAATGACAGTTAATTGATAGTTAATTAGTAATTCTTAACACCTATCGGTCTGTTTTGATGACATAAACTAGGACACTTTTACACATATATATGTATATTGAACACTTACTCTTTGCCTGACGTGGTGCTAGGCTCTGAGGATAAACAATAAGACAGACAACAGACAGACAACAGACAGAAAAGGCCCAGCCTTTCATGTGTGGTGTGTGTGTGTGTGTGTGTGTGTGTGTGTGTGTGGTGAGGGGGAATGTCAAAGACTGGGGAATAAAACCAAGTAACCAAAGACAAATTTTCTGATAAAGCGTAAGATGTGGAGGAGGCAGAGGTAGTAAGTCAACTTTAGAGAGTGCTTCCTGAAAAGGTAAATTTATTTCTACTTTAATATAATTTAAAGGGAAACACTTTAATATAATGTTAAGATATATAAGATATATACACACAGATATATAATTTCGAATTTGTGAGTGATTTTTTGGAATCAGTCTATCAAGGAGTTGGAAAATTTGGATTTCTTATTACAGGAAATTCTACATAAATGAGGGTATGAGAGTTGAGGGAAGAGTTTTTCCAGGGGAGCAGTTGAATGGAGTCAAGGGGGTCTCAGACCCCCTGCAAAGGACAGCAAAATTCTTCTGGGCAGAGAGACGGTAGCACGTGGCAGTTTCCCTAGAGGAGCTCCTTCGAGGGGAACCCTGAGAAGTGTCCACACCCACCAGCCTCTAGGCGCCGGCCGTATGGAACACCGAGCACTCGAGACAGGGCTGGCGCTAATGAAGAAATGAATTTTTCATTTAATTTTAAATAATTAAATTTTTAAATTAAGTACCTGCAGGAGGCCAATGACAGCATATTAGTGCAGCTCTCAGCAGCCTGTGGTCAGAACCACTGTGTACCCGAACGGGAGAGGCAGGTTCAGTAACAACTGCCCTTGCCTGAGATCCCACCACTCCTGGGCCCGACAGAGGGCCAGGTTTTAACGTTTTTCATTGCTGGCGTAATGCCGACCTGAATAAATATATCATGGATGTTTGTTAAAATGTTTCATGAATGGGAAAGTTGCCTTCTCTGCCTGATTTATTTCCTAATTCGTGGCTTCTTAACTGTATGCTACGGCTTCGTGCGCGGACTTGTTTGCTGTTCCCGGTGCCGGGCGTTTGTGATGCTGGCGCCTCTCCTTGAGGTCTGCCCGAGCGCCCCTAGGTAGAGCTGGCCTCTCCTACCCTCTGCACACACCTCTGCTACAGCTGGTTCCGATCCGTTTTGTTCGTCACAGGCTTATCTTCCATGCTAAACTTCAGGGAGAATGACACACTGATAACGAGGGTCCTACTCCATGGACAACTCTGGATTCAGCTCACCCACAATTTGCTAGATGTGTGAGCTGGGGAAAGACATTGAGCATCTTTAACCTTCTGTTCCTTCCCCTGTAACGTTGGAGTAATACAGGACGTAGGTGACAGGCTGTATGAAGACAAACTAAGACCAAGGATGTAAACAGCATAGTGCCTGACAGCATTCATGTTCGATACATAGTCACTGTTGTGCTTGCTCTGTGAACTCTGGAGAATTATACTACATTAACTATATTATTACCTTGTATTATTCCTGGCACCTTCAACAAAGCCTGATACAGTTTAAATGTTTCATAATTGTTACATAGTAATAGAAAATTTGTTTCCCCAGCCTTTTACTAACTTCCATTTTAAATACAGTGTCAGTCCCTTTTAAACACCACACTGAAACAAGCTAATACGCTACCAAGTCAGGGGTCGCAAAATATTCCAAACTGTAATTGTTGTAAAAATGATTAGAGTTTCTCTTTTAGCTGGAAATTTAAAAGGCAAGACTCTTCTTGGAGAAAACTAGTAACACAGGCAAAATACACTGTCTTCATTCTCATCTATGTTTTCATCACAATTCACGTTTTTTTCAGAGAAAACAAATAGTTGAGGCCTAAAGCTGAACCCTCAGGAGAAATGTGCTGTGTAACTAGTTCAGAAATAAGTGTTTCTCCAACTCCTTTTCTCGCTGCAACCCACAGTTTGAAATGTATCTTATGTCTTGACTCCTGTACATACTTATACATATAGGTAAGTAATTGAAACAAAATTTCTATGAAGCAACACCCATCTTTACTCCTTGAGGTGCATGCTGACATTTCTATTCCATTCTGTTCTGTTCTGTTCTGTTTTGTTCTAGTCTAGTTTTTAATGCTGATCACAAGCCACAATATAGCTTTCATGATCCACTGCATTTACAAATAATATTATTTACAATGTTATTTCCAGTGTCCACAGGCATCAGTGTTAGAACTGCCTAGTGTTTCACTTGAAACAATGGTGCTGATTTTACATAATATCCAATGAAGAATTTTAGGGAACACGTACTTGATCTCAATGAAATACTCACCTACCTAGAGCCCTATAAAAATCACTCCACCCCAACTTCTCACTCCAGCCTTCTGGTTCCGACTGAGTCATCTTTGACAGAGATCTGCTACTGTCATCTCAAACAAAAGCCCCCACATTTCCTCTGTCCGGTTGCAGAAGCTGGACCAAGAGCCCCTGTGAACAGTGTCCTACCTTTGGCAGGCTTCACGCTCATCATTTCCATGACAAATCCTGGTGACGTGCAGCTGTGGCAAGGACTAATTGGAACTGGGTTTTCTAACTCCTGAAACTGCATTACCATTCTTACCTTCTTCCCAGCGACTGAAAATGAGACTAGGTAAGAAGTGACAGAGGCCAGAGGTTGTGTGGCTTACTGATTAACTTCATTACTGAGCAGAATATTTGTAAATGTTTATGAGAAAAGTCCTCTATGCCAAATTGCCTAGTAAGCGGGAAACCAGTCTCTTGGATAAACATTTTGGGGAGTACTTTCTACTTTAAGAACTTTTAGAGGGTGGAATTCTGTTCAGTTACTCTAAATGTGGATCGGGCGGGTCAAGCGCCACGTGCTACGTCGTCAACTGTGTTCCTTTCAAAAGGCTACAGAATGGTATAGTTTTGTAACATCAGAAAATGTTAAAGCATAAAGTTTAACAGCATGAGGCCAATTGATCTGGGTTTATATCTGGTGTTAGGGTGGAACTGTGCTCCCTCCCACCAAATTAATATGTTGAAGTTCTAACCCCAGTACCCCAGCCAGGGACATTATTTAGAAACAGGGTGTTTATAGAGGTAATCAAGTTAAAATGAGGTCATCAGATTGGTTTCTAATCCCATAGAACTAGTGTCCTTATACTAAATGGAAATTTGGACAGAGAGACAGACACAGATAGAGGGAAGACGTTGTGAAGAAGACAAGGGTAAAAACAGTCACCCACAAGCCAATGTTCTCCAAGGCTCTCCGTGGTCAGGAACATAGATCCTTCCCTCACAGCCTTCAGAAGGACCCAACCCTGCCAGCACCTTGATTACGGACTTCTTGCCTCTAGGACAGTGACACAATACATCTGTCGTTTAAGCTGCCCAGTCAGTGGCCCTTCCTGGCAGCAGCTTTAGCAAACAAAGACCTTCAGGCTCCCTTGGCAGCCACTAGCTGTGTGTACCATGGACAAATTCCTGAACCATTTCCTGCCTCAATTTCCTGATAATCACACAACCTCATAGAATTATTATGAGGATGAAATAAAATGAAATTTATAAAATGCTCGGCGCAATGGGTGGCTATCCATCATCATCATATTGATGTCATTGATTATTCAGCTTTGGACGCATGTTTTAGGGTGGCTTGCATACTGAGTAGAAATAATTTCTGCAGGAGAACTGGTGATTAAAAGCTTGTAACTGTGTTATTTTTTTGGAAGAGAGGGCTTTCGAACAGGACTCAGTGGGGCCAGGGGTGAGCTCAGGCATAATGCGAGCGGAGGCACTCTGTACCCTTGGGCCAGTCTCTCAGCTCTGTGGGCCGCATCTGTATACATCAACTTCGTAGATCATTCCTGCCCTGCATCCCTCGCAGATCTGTTGTGACATAAAATGATGTAATAAATATGAGAGCAATTTTAAAAGGCAAACGTGATCTCTATAAATGTAATGATCGTTGCTAAGATGTCTCTACAGCCTGTACAAACTTCGAGTGTTTTTTTCTTTTTCTTTTTTTGAACATTGTTGTACTTTTGTTTATTTTTCTAATTTTATTGATTTTTAGAGAGAGAAGAAGGGAGAGGGAGAGAGAGAGAAACATCAATGTGAGAGCATGACGCCGGTGGGCTGCCTCCTGCACACCCCCTACCAGGGATCAAGCCAGCAACCCGGCATGTGCCCTGACGGGAAATCTAACCAGCAACCTTTCCATGCACAGGATAGCACCCAACCAGCTGAGCCACACCAGCCGGGCTAGAGTGTTTTCACATGCATTATCTCATCTGGTCCTTACTTGCACCCTTTGTCGAAGGTATGATACCAACTCTCTTCTACCCTATTACACAGACTCAGAAAGGCAACTCAGTGAAGTTCAGTGATCTGTCGAAAGTCACCCAGTTATTAAGGGATAAACCTAAACATTAACCAAGATCTTCCGACTCAAGACCCCATGGCCGAACAACTAAAGCACATGTGCCCTCATTGCTGAGAAAGAAGAAAGGAGTGACGGGCTGTGGGTATATCCGGTTTGGATTGCTCAATCAATGGTTGCCATTTGCAAAACTGTTCTCCATTCTCGGTTTACTTCCTACCTCATTCTCCTCTCCTCACAACCCAAGAGCTACCCTTGCCTTGAGAAGGCCTTATGTGGAAGAGCTACCCAAAGGATGTGAGCCAGGACAAGCTACCTCTGAAGTTTCTATTTCAAAAATCCTGTGCTGAGTTTTTCACTAGTCAAACAAATGGATATGTCTGTTACCCTCAAAAACTTCTATTGAAAAAAAAAAAAAAAAGAAAGAAAACCCCAAAGACTCCATCAAAAATCTACAAGAGTTAATAAATGAATTTGGCAAAGTAGCAGGATACAAAATTAATGTCAAGAAATCAACGGCATTCTTATACACGAATGATGAACTCACAGAAAGAGAAACTAAAAAAGAAATCCCATTTATCATCACAGCAAAAAAATTAAGATACCTAGGAATAAACTTAACCAAAGAAGTAAAGGACCTGTTCACATTAAACTACAGGTCATTGAAAAAAGAAATAGAAGAAGATATAAAAAAAAGTGGAAGCACATACCTTGTTCATGGATTGGAATAATTAACATCATTAAAATGTCCATACTACCCAAAGCAATCTATAGATTCCATACAATCCCCATCAAAATACCAATGACATATTTCACAGAACTAGAATAAACACTCCAAAAGTTTATGTGGAACCAAAAAAGACTCCGAATAGCCACAGCCACAGCAATCTTTTTTAAAAAAGAACAAAGTAGGAGGGATCACATTACCAGATATCAGCTTATACTACAAAGCCACTGTAATCAAAACAGTCTCACACTGGCAGAAGAACAGACAGATAGATCAATGGAACAGAACAGAGAACCCAGAACTGACCCAAGACAGTAAGCCCAATTAATATTTGACAAAGATGGCAAGAGCATGCAGTGGAGTCAAGACAGCTTCTTCAATAAATGGTGTTGGAAAAATTGAACAGCTACTTGCAAAAAAATTAAGCTAGACCACCAACTTACACCATACATAAGAATAAACTAAAAATGGATAAAAGACTTAAATGTAACTTATGAATCCATAAACATTCTAGAAGAAAATGTAGGCAACAAAATTTCACACATCATACCAGCAGAATTTTCACTGCAACCACACCTAAGGCAAGAGAAACAAAGAAAAAAATGAACATATGGGACTATATCAAACTAAAAAGCTTCTGCACAACAAAAGAAACTCAAAATGGAAAGGGAACCCACCATATGGGAGACCATAATTGCCAATGATGCATCAGATAAGGGGTTAATTTCCAAAATATACAGAGAACTCATACAATTCAACAACAGGAAGACAAAGAACCCAATCAAAAAATGGGCAGAGGACCTAAATAGATACCTCTCCAAAAAGGACATACAAATGGCCAAGAGACATATGAAAAAATGCTCAATGTCAATAATCATCAGAAAGATGCAAATTAAAATAACTATGAGGTATCACTTCACACCTGTCAGAATGGCCGCCATCAACAAATCATCGAACAACAAGTGCTGGCCCTTGCCAAGTGTGGAGAAAAGGGGACTCTAGTACACTGCTGATGGGAATGCAGACTGGTGCAGCCACTGTAGAAAACACTATAGTGTTACCTCAAAACGTTAAAAGTTGAACTGCCATTTGACCCAGTGATCCCACTTCTAGGAATATACCCTAAGAAGCTTGAAACACCAATCAGAAAGAATATATGTACCCCTATGTTCATAGCAGCACTATTTACAATAGCTAAGATCTGGAAACAACCCAAGTGTCCATCAGTAGATGAGTGGATAAAAAAGCGGTGGTACATATACACAATGGAGTACTATGCAGCTGTAAGAAAAAAATGTCTCTATCCTTTGAGATGACATGGAGGGACCTGGAGAGCATTATGCTAATGAAATATGCCAATCAGAGAAAGACATATACCACATGATCTCACTTATTTGTGGAATATGATGAACGAAACAAACTGATGAACAAAACTGACCCAGAGACATAGAGGTAGGGTACAGACTGACAAACCCCAGAAGAGGGGAGTTTTGGGAGGAAGAGATAAACCACAGAACTTATATGCATGTATGCATAACCAATGGACAGAGACAACAAAGCTTGGGAAGGGGTGGGGGAATGGGGAGGAGGGTGTCAACGGGGGGGAAAGGAGAAACATCTGTAACAAAAACTAATTAAAATAATTAATATATGAGCAGGATAACTAAGAAACCCTCATTACTGAGTGAATCCACACAAGATGGTCTCATAATAAAACGGATTAAATCTCTTTGCTTCTCTCTGTGATAAACAACTACCTTATGTTATTTTTTTTCTAAAAATACATTTTTTCCTCTGCAGTCTGAAAGAGTACCCACTAATTATATATGGCTACTTAAATTAACTTTAATTTAAATTAAATACATACAAATCAATTCCTCAGTTACACTAGTCACATTTTATTTTTATTTTCTTTACTGATTTGAGAGAGAGAGGAAGGGAGAGGGAGTGAGAGAAAGAAACATCGATGAGAGAGAACATCAATTGGCTGCCTCCTGCATGTCCCCCACCAGGGATTGGGCCCACAACCTGGGCATGTGTCCTGACCGGGAATTGAACCAGCGACCTCTTGGTACATTGGTCAATGCTCAACCATTGAGCCACACCGGCCGGGTGCACTAGTCACATTTTAAGTGTCCAATAGCCACATGTGGATAGTGGCTTCTTCATTGAACAAAATAGATCTGGAGCGTTTCATCAGCATAGAAAGTTCTGTCAGACAGCACTGTTGTAGATGGTCCTTGGGAGCATCAGGAAGCTACACCAATCATGATGGCAAGTGGGGACATCAGCCATGAACCTATAAAAGGGGAGGGGGCTTCAGGGGTCAATGCTGGCAATGCTTTTCTGAGAACTACCCTTGAGACAAGACTTGGTCAGCAGACTTAGAGTGATACAATCTTATTGGAAAGAGTTTCTCCACCGGGGTGAACTGGCGTACTCTCCTAGCTTGGATCCTTGATCATTCCATTCGGATTCCTTGTCCTAATTATATTTTGGTTGCCCACTTATTATCTATGGATCCT